AGTTGCAGACTCGATTAAGGGAAGTCATTATCAAGTAAAGGAACAAGGCGGGCCGCGTACAGAAGGATGTTCGAAAAAATCTAGCGGAAAATACCTCGAGGAGCCAAGTCGGGGAAAGAAGATTCAAGGGTTTTGAGAACTTCGGGATCCTCACAAAGGGTGCCCGAAAGTAATGCCTGGTTATACACAGCCCAATCGATACCAAAAGGTGAGGCATGTGAATGGACAAAATCCTCCGGCTCGACGTTTAGATGAGAACATGGCTCGACATCGTTTAGATGAACAGAGTTCGAACCCAAATAGTTATCGATTTCACGGGCAAGAGAACCGGAGACGGGGTCAGAAACAGGGTCGAGGTTGAAATCTAAGAAGATAAAGAATGGCAATCAAGAAAAGTTGTTAGAAATCGTGATCCGATTCAAAGAAAAGGGTCAACAAAATAACCAGGATGACACGAGAAGCGTCTCGACGACGGGAAGAAAGGGAGAAGAAATAAGTAGTCCCCATATCGATTCGACTTGACAAAAGAGTCGATCTCTCATAACGAGACGGCTGGCAAACGAAAACACTCAAAGGAGATAAAAGATCGGCAGCTAAAGATCTAACAAAGAAAAACCACTAGAATTTTCCAAGAATTCCCAAAAAACGTGATGAACATACATGCCCCAAAGCATATAAAAAAAGGGAGAGAAAGAAAAAGAGAGTTTATTATCTTAAACACACCGATAAATTAAAAAGCAAAGCAAAGGAAACTTACTCATACTCATGGTGATCGACGAAGGAGTCCTGAAAGATCTGAGAACGTCGGAAAATGAAAGGAGCGCCGGAAAAGCTTGGGATGCTGTGTTTGCCGGAGAAAACAGAAGGCTCAGAGAAGATGAGTGCGAAAAGTGAAGACAGGAAGAAAGGAGGAGTATTTATAAAGAAGGCGGAGAAACCCTGACCCTCAGATTAAAGTCATATTCAACGGTTGAGATGGTGCACGGAATACGAAGCGGCGGAGAGATAAAACGTCTTATCAATACTCAAAGACCCTACTTTTTGAATTTTGAAATTAAAAAAGATTCAGACTTATCTAATCAAATCAAAATGCGCGTAGACGAGTCGTATTACAAGTCGAGGTAATGAGTGGGTGCGACCCAAGGTAGCAACTGATGACGGGACACATGAAAAGATTCAAGGAAAACATCCAGTCGACAAAATCTACTCGTAAGCTCAGAGTCGCTTCGAGTAATTTTGGGGGGGACTAGATGATATAGCCATACCGTCGCATAACGGCTCAATAACCGTGATATAGCCACACTGGCTCATAATGGTTCATATCATCACGGTTCGAAATTATCAAGTCGACTTCGACTCCGCCAGTAAGGTTCCACGATAGTCAAGAATCCTGGCTCTTGACCGAGTCGACGTACACCTGTCGACTAGAATAAGTCGACCTCTACCAAGACAACGGTCAGACGTATCAGGGTCCACTAACGGTTGAATGTGATCCAGTCGACTCGACTCAATATCTCAAGTCGACTGAAGGAGTCTTGCAGTTCGTGGTTCTCGATAGCTTTGACACACCTCAGCATATTGAGGAAGAGTTAAGGATAAGAAGGAAGCTAAGGAAGGATCTAGATGCTAGGAAGAATACGAACCGACCGGGGTATTCTGGACATTTCCAGTAAGTCGGCCGGGGCACTTTGGGGACTTCAGGTAAATGTTGCATTTCTATATAAAGGACTGAGGTAATCCCAAAACCCTAACTCCCATTCATTCCATATTCTCTTCATTACTGCTGCTGCTCTCATAGCAGCTCCCCTGATCTCTTTCACATACTGGCTTGAGCGTCGGAGGCTCTACGCCGGAAACCCCTCCGGCGTTGAGTTCTTGCAGGTGTTCTTGCGGCTCAACAACGGTTCGAACGCCATCACATCAGATCTAAGGTCATTCGCACCGGTTCATCCCAGATCCGGACGCTTTCCCATTGGACCGTTCCAGATCTGAGAAGAGACCCATCAGTATGTATAAAAAAAAATAATTTATACTTATCTTTATAACAATAATAAAATTACTTTTAATATTAATTAGAAAAATAAAATTATTTATCAACTAATATATTTATATTTCAAGTAGTTATATGATATAAGTTATAAAAACTAATATAATATAGCACATGTAAGTCATAAGTAACACATATCATTCTAAAATATATAGTAATATATTTTTTTTTTGTAAAAAAAGTAAACTAAATTTAATATAGTTTTCTCACAAATTTTAAAATTAAAGAATAATTTTTTAACAAACACCCGTGTAATACATGGGTGTTGTACTAGTGGGCATAGTAATCTAAAAGGAAAAGTGAAAAGAAACTTAAATCATGTTCAAATTTCACTGATTTAATGTAAAATAAATTTAACTTATTTTGGGAAAAAATATTATTAATATTGGACTAATATAATATAACATGGGATAAAATATACATTCACTAGTATAAAATTAATAAAGTCAGAGAATTAAGATAGGGTTGCGGCCCACACCAGCCTTTGGGATGGCTGCTCCCCTGCTGAGCATGCATAAATATTGAGCCTAGTATCACACCTCTCTCAATATATATAAAGGCTTGACATTACTTTTACTAACTAAAAAATAATAATTTATTTGTAGAATTTATTTTTTATTTTTTCCTCTTTACATATTTAGCACTGTATATTTTCTTGAAAATATATTTCTTTAAAAGCATAAGAGAAGTATTTTTTGGAATTATGATGATTATTTCAAGATTACTCAAACTGAATTATATATAATTATTTTTTATATAAAATAATAAATATAGCAACTTGATTTAGGTTATATATATAAAATAAGAATATAACTTTTCCAAAGAATTTTCTTCGTTATATTAATACCACTTATGATATTTAATAACTTATGAATACCATATTACAAAAATAATAATTAACATTCAAAATATATCATCTATGTAGTAACTCATGTTGATATTGAGTGATCGTGTCCTCAATTAATTTACTTTAATTTCTTACAAAAATATTATGTTAATATTCTTATGAATATGCATAAATTAAGAAATAATTAATTTATCTTTATATTTATATATATATTATAATCTCAATATATTGTCATTTGTTATAAACATTAACATAATTAATTTATCTTTATATATATATATAATTTATAATCCCAATATATTGTCATTGTTATAAACATTAACTAAATCATAAAATACTTCTATTATATAAAAAGAAATATATTCATTGAAATAAGAAAAATTCTCTGGATCAATCAGGTGATTGAATTAAGATACTGTTCAGGTTCATTAAATTACTTACAAGTATGCTGAAGGCTATGAAAGCTAGAGAAAAGATGATAAATAATAACATATGTGATGTATTTTTCTGGAGTATTTTATAGTTGATAAGAATCGAATGCCTCCTTAAAGCTTTGGGACCTTGCTATTTATAAAATTGGAGACCTTTAAAATATATTATACTTAGGACAAGTGGTAGTCTCTTAGATGCCGTGACATACATGGTGACACGTGTCCTCGCAACTTAGCCAACTTATTTAAGTGGCTTATCCTTTTGGGAGGAGCGAATTGGTTCCGGGTGGCATCCCTTTTCACACTAGTATTTAGTTGATTGGCAAGGAGGAAATCTTGCTCCTGGCCGATTTGGGGAGGCGACTTTGTTGGTCTGATCACTCTAGGGTCTAGAGTGAGATCAACGCACAAGAAGTGATTGATCTGAAGCCCGACGTCATTTGTTTAGGCCGATGTATTCTTAGTCCTTGTGCTTTAGGAATATCGTTGGTACAGACTTTGACTATGTTTGGTAGACAAATAAACCAGCTTATAGCTTACATGGTTAGCTTATAAGCTTCGTTTGGTAGGACAATTTTTTTTTTATAAAAACTCGAGCATATCTCATAAGTTTCTTTAGATAGCTTTTCAAATAAGCTCGTTGAAATTTAAGCATCCGCTTAACTTATCAACTAATTTTACCAAACACTTCCATCGTATATAAATTATAAGTTATAACCCACAAACTCGAAAATTACTTATAAGATATAAGCTAAATTATTATCAATATTTAAGAGATAATTTCAAAATTGGTCATATAATTTGGCTACAGTCCAAAAAACCACCACTATATTGACTACTTTCAAACTTGGTCCTATAATTTCAGAATTTAATCAAATTTGGTCATTTTTTAATCATATTTGGTCCTTTTTAATCAAATTTAATCTATGTCCCGGATAAAAAGGACCAAATTTGATTAAATTTTGAAATTATATAACCAAATTTAAAAATAATCAATATAAGGGTGGTTTTTTGGACTGTGTCCAAGATTTAATCTTACCAAACGTAGTCTTTTTCGTCCACATCATTATCGTTCAAGTATGGTACATTTTTTGATATCAAGATATGTATTTATAAATTAACCACCCCAAAATTTATCCCCAATTAAGGCCCAAACCATGAGGTTCACTGAAATCTCCCATTTCAGCCACACCCACCACAAGCTCAAATACCACCGAGCGGAGGCTCCCTTCAAATGCGACGGCTGCAAGGAGATTGGGATCGGCTCCGCCTACAAGTGCGGCGCCGCCGCCTGCGACTATGACCTCCACACCCACTGCGCCGTCCCTTCCCCTTCCATTGCCCACCCTTTCTACACAGGTTGCTCCTTCCAATTTCTCAGCCGGCCGCCGGGGACGGAGGCGCGTTACTGCAACGCGTGCGAGCGGCCGGTGACTGGATTTCTGTACCACTGTAAGCTCTGTGGCTTCGATCTTCACCCTTGCTGCGCCAAGCTGCCTATGCTAA